CACGAGCGGGACGGGCGGCCCACAGAGCTGGGCGGCTGCAACGCCATGGTGCGCAACCTCAAGCACGACACCTTCCTCTTCATCCGATACGTCCGGCGCAGGCTCACGGTCAGAGACGCAGGAGGCCGGGCCGAGGGCCCCGGCCGCGAGGCGTTCAGGGTCCTCTTTTGGATCCAAGTGTAATTTTGTTGGCTTCCTCTGTTGAGCAGGTGATGATAGACATAGACGGCCAGCACGAGTGGAGGGACTGCCTGGACATACCGGGGGTGCGGCTGCCGCAGGGCTATTATTTTGGAGCGACAGCCGTCACCGGAGATCTCTCAGGTAAAAAAAAACAACAAATGGGCGGAAAATTTGAATGTAACTTTTCTCCCATTCAACATGGGAGACGTGTGTGTCTGTGTCTGGACTATTTTGTGAAACAGCTTTAAAAGATATTATTCCAACACTTCCCAGTTTAGACAAATGACACCCACCCCTCAAGGTGGCGGCTTCGGAATAAAGCTGGGAGGGAAAGGCTCAGCCAAGGTTTTCATAGGGGAGGGGTTTTTTAAGAGATACACATACAGGAATTATTTCAAGCAAAAGGAAAAAAACAGCTTGCGGTAGCGTTTTCGTTTCTTCATAGTCCTGCGTGTTGGTACTTGAGGAACTTTGGCTGGTACATTTTCTCGGGCTGAATTTAATTGGCTACGAACAACAGTTTATTTTAGACTTTGTGCGGGATCCAGTGGGTTCACAGCCAACGTCCCGGTGCCAGACAGCATATGACACCCCGTCCCAGCGCCCCGGGGCGCAGGCCTCCGCAGGCCCGGCCTGTTTTGGCACCACGAGGGGGGACTCGCACACAATTTACAGCCCTGTGGTTTTGATATTGTGTCTGGCCTGTGTCATTTATCAAATGGGGAGCTGTGGTCCATGACTCCTGATAAATCTTTCTCTTGACTTCTAACCTCCTGTTTTCCCATGGACAGATAACCACGATGTCGTTTCCCTGAAGCTCTACCAACTGACGGTGTTTAGGAGTCAAAAGGAGGAGGAGGAGGAAGAGGAGGATGTAATAACCATACCCAGTGTAGATAACATGGAACTCCTCAGATGTAAGACCCCCCCCCCCCCCTCGACCCCCCCCCCCCCCGAACTTCTACCCGCTCCCATTCCCCTGCTTGTTGTCCATCTTTCACTCTTGCCCCCCCCTCCTCCATTTTAGTGGGACAGGTTGAAGAAGGGATGAGCGGAATAGCCATTTTCTTCACAGTGCTCTTCTCCATGCTGGGCTGCATCTTCCTCATCGTCATCGGCCTGGTAATCTACAGCCACTGGAACGAAAGCCGGCGTAAGCGCTTCTACTGAGGGAACGCTCGGGGGGGAGAGTACGACTGCAGTCCACGGGCCAAACAGCGAGGAGACGGAAGTGAGGCGCTGCCATTGGTTGATGACAGGCGATGGGGGACGTTACATTTCCCCCTCAGCTCCTGCCTGACTCACACCAACTCAGCCTTACCATCTTCACCTCTGTACCTTTTATACAGCAGACTTTTTTTGTTGTTTTTTTGTCTGTTTTCATTCTACTTTCACAGATCTTGACCTAATGGCTAGGAGAAACATTACATTTACAAATGGCTGAAGTATCCATCCCCCTCATGAATAATGTACCTGCTGCATTAAGTACTGAATAAAAACTCAGTCAGGAGGGATGCCGTGGAAATGTAAATCCGAGCACACCACATTAAATCATGATCCATTATCAGGGGCCATGCTGCTGTTTCAGCCACAGAATGTGTTTATTATATTTCAGAAACATTATATACCTTCCCTGAGCATGTCTTCCAGGTGGCAGCTTAAGTTGCTTTTAAACTTGTTTTTGTGCTTTTTTATTTTATTTAAATTATTGCGTTATGTTTTGTATCTATTTTGTATTTATTTTTAGAAGAAAAAAAAACTAGGTCTTTTATTTTCCTCCTGCCAAATGCATCTAAACCTATTGCTGCCAAACCAAATCCTCTTGGATCCCTGCCGTGCTGTATACTACTGCTGTGTAATGCACAATAGTGCCCTTTTTCTTTCTTCCACGACTTGTCAAAACTGTTTATGAAGAGCGTATGAAAGGCTGAATGTTCACAGCTGTTGCTGGCGTTATGACTACAAATGTGTTCAGTTTGTTTCTTTTGTCGGACGATGAAGCATGAAAAGGTCTGAAGGCCTTTTACCAATCCAGGCTTCCTTTGGCAGGCAGCCTCATCTCTTCCTCATGTGTTCTGGAAATGGCCGCGGGGCTAAAGGCGGCGTCATGTATCCTCTGTGTGGGTTTTTTCTTTTGTTGTGTTTTCCGGGATAACTTCCTTTTCCCTGTGGCCACTTGGACATTTACCTCACCATCTTATTTATTTAAATTATACCGTTTGCTGTTTTTGTATGAAACCTGAGTTCTTCTTTCAGGAAGCCACAAATTAACGTTTCCAAACATGAGAAATGTGTTCCGTTTCTATGTCTTTTTTGCATTGCCCCGTTGGATGTGTGAGTGAGCTTTGGGTGCACATACATAAAAAAATACTCAGTTCTCATAAAGTTATTTTTTCATGGCATTTTTCTCATTACCTCATGGCTGTACAGGAAAGGGTGCTCAACTTCCACCCCTCCTGTATACGTTTTTTCCTCTTGGCTTTTTCTGTTCAGATATGTACCTGAAACAGCTGAAAATACTTTTCTAAAGATGAACAGCCTAAAAATTTGAATTAGTGTCAAGAAAGTGATGACAGTACAGATTTATTTTCCTTCCTTTCTACTTGGAATAATGCAAAACGAACACACCAATCTCAGTTTAAAAGATAGAGTTCACTTAATTCATTATTTCAAGATAGTTCCCTTTAAAAAAATAAAATAAAATTACAGCAAGACAGTTGCTCACCGTATGTCGGCTCAGTCCTGCATTCAGTTTTAGTCGTCAAAGAGATGCTGAAAATTTTCATTTAACAAAACATTTTCTAAATGCAGATATTTGATGAGTGACTCAGACTGAGTACAACAAAAGGAGGACATTCATGAGTTCCGCTGCCTGGGGGGGTTCCTCACACGGCCATCCGATGGCCACGCTGACCAATACTGGACATCACAGGAAAGAAACTCAAACTCAAAGGCAGTCAGCAGAGCGCCAATGTTTGTTTTATTAAAAAAATAAAATACAAATGATGACCCAGACAGTACACGGCGGACTTGTTACCACAACCAAAGCATTTTATATCTGTCAGTGCTCACATTTTTTTTCTTTTTTCTATCCCTACTTCACTCATTTTGGCTTATTCAAAAGGTAAAAGGACAAAAATGTAGAAATAGAGTCTGTTAGTCGACACCTGCTTCCTTCTCAAAACTGAGTTTCTCATTTTTGAAAACAATAATAATAATAACAACAATAATAATAAGTACATCTTGCTGAACCATGGCACCTCAATGTCATTTATAATATCAATATTTGACTTGGGCAAAAAAGCCCAATCTGCTGAGCGGGATGAAATTGTCACACTGGATGCTGAGGGTTTAGTTTAGTTTAGTTTAGGAGGATTAAGAAAAATAGTGACACTCTGATGAAAACATTAACCAAATATGTGCAGGTTTGTGAGTCAACTGTGTTCCATGTTGAGGTCTTTCATGTGTATGATATTCATTACGGATGTACTAACCGAGGATTAAAGGTAATGGTTACATATTCAGTCAGTTTGTGAAGACCGAAAAGAATGGGAGCAGCAAAAATGAGAGAGTAAAGCAGATCTATGTTACCAAGCAAAAGTTGATCTATTAAAAAGAATGTGATCAACCTGTTCCTTGGGCAATGTGGTCTATTTGTAAGTCTGGAGGACTACGTGTTAGTGGTTGAGGGAGGCAGACGGGGGAAAAAGAAGAAAAGGGGGGGGTGAAAAAACATGTCTAAGCTAGAATGGCTTTTTCACTCAAGCATACATAGTCACCATAACCTTGTAACAGGACTTTTTTTTCCTTTTCTTTTTTTTTTTTACAAGTTTTCTTAAACAAATATATATACACAAACCAACCAAAGAAGATTACAGTACAGTGCAGTGCCACAAGTACTGAGAGTTCTATTGCTTGTACTGGTGCCCACAGACGGATAACAGAGAGGGTTCGCAGCATATAACAGTAGGTTTATGTTTTTGCATAGCCGAGTTGAGTAAAGTCACAGCGATGCGTGATGCAGACGATGGGGCGCAACCATGGAACAACTGCTTTGGCTTCTGGACACACGGGGGGTAAAAATGTGCTGCGGCACTGCTTATTGACAATAACCCTGAGAGTGTGAAAGCAAACAGACCATCGTCACCCCGACCACACACACACGCACACACACACACACTCTCTGCTCGGCCGCGGCACTGGCCGCCTGGACGCAGGGCCACGGTCCACGTCCGCACACGCAGCCGCTTACGTAAAAACTGTTTTACAAATCACACAGACGTGGAGAGGGGGGGGGGTAAGGGGGGGGCGGTTGTGTTGCATCACGCACCTCTGTAGAGGTTAACAGACAAGAAGGCAAAGTTAAAGCCTGTGAAACAAACACATGTGGTCATATACAATCAGCGATTAGATAAACATGAGCTCCAGCACACGGTTAAGAAACGTCCCGAGTCACTGAACCATGACGCTCCCGCTGGCCATTTCGTTTGTTGGGACGGACGAGGCCTCCCGTGAACACCCCGCCGCAGACCCATCCACCAATGAAATGTTCGGATGTCCATCAGAAATTCTTGACTGATATAGCCCTTACTCTCAGTAAACAAGTGAAAAACCGAGGAGACAGAGGAAAGGGGAAAAAAAGCTAAGGACCTCCGGTCGAGCACCAAAGAGCCCCCGCCTTTCCCCAGTCCTCCCGCTCGTCCCCTGTTCTGTTCTTCTTCTATACACAAATACACGTAAGAAAGGATGCACCTTGATCGGTTACAGAGCAATCTCTCGTCGGAGTTGGTTTTTCCTCCTCCAATCACAGACACAGACACAATGACCCATTACAAAGCCATAAAAAAGACAAACAGATTTTTTTTTTTCTTATTTTTCCTCATGCTTTCAAGGCGGCTCATTTCACAAACTAACAGCAACCAGACACGTGGAACCAAACTGAGCACGAACTCCACCATCTGCTCTTGACTAAACTTCCATCAGCGCCACGACGAACTAGACACGCACAACTTTAAATTCAACACAACCGCCTCTCTGTCACGGAGCCACAAAAAGCAAAACTGTTTTAACTCGCCGGCTTTGAAATCTTCGCAGACCACATCCTTTTCTCACAAGCGAGCACTATTTCCCGGAAAGAGTTCAGAGGCTACCTTCTACTGATACAAAAGCACTCGGCTGCTCCCTAAAAACACCACGCTTTGGACAACACGAATATTACTTCTTTGTTGTTTTGTTTTAAAGAAAAGAAAAATAACCACGGCAACTCCTCTAATAAGGCAGCATTGCATCTTTTTACCACATGCAGAGTTTCTGTTTCACTGTGCAGCCTCGTAACCAAAACATCTGCTTTACAGAGATGCAGCAAGGCAGCTTGTAAGTATTAAGTGTTGCTTTCACTAATGGCCGAGCGGTCATGCTCACGGGGCAACTGCTCCTCTCAAAAGGTCACTGCCGAGTTAGTATGGCTTCATGTTCAAGCACCTGCTCCACATGCACAACCGACACGTGCACGGGGCCTTTTTTTTTCCCGCGGCCCGATTGGCCGGCGCTGAACGGAAAGCCGATCGCGACGACAGGAGGAAACTCTGCCCTCACCTGCTTTAGTGACGGCACAGAGATCCCCGACCTCCAACCCGGTTCGGAGGGAGGAAAGGCTTCCACTGGCCGGCGAGCGGCGCGGTGCCTGGTGCTCTGCACACTTCTGGTCAGGGGTCTGACCAGCGCGGACGTTTCCATTTCGGCCGGGTGTGAGAGCAGAGCGCCCGGCTCCGGCCGTGTGCTTTTGTGAAGCGGAATGCCCCGAGTCTTCACGCCGTACCCGTCCTCAAACGCTCAATCAGGACAGGTGGATAAAAGCTGCCGGCCATTGTTCTGAAATCAAATTCTCAAAAAAGGAAAAACCTGCCGACTCATCAGTTAAGTCTCAGATCCAAGCAAGAGTTTAACCTTGTGGTGGCTTTCCCCTCTGACATGGCTGTTCTGATGTAGACAGAGGACACACCGTGGGCACGCGGCGCTGATAAGACGGGCAGTTAATCACCGCAGACTCTGTGGCCGTGCCAACACTAAAGAAGCTGCAGAGCAGAGCGTCCGATCACCTCAAGCTGCTAATGCCCGGGCCCTGTGCTGCCAGTGGAAAATACCGTTGCAAAGCCTTCCCCCTGCCAAAAGACGGCACCAGCTGCATGGCATCCGCCGTCCCCTGCAGCACGACAGAGCCACGGCCGAATATCCAAAGGTTCCACCTCTCGACTTGGAGCTGAACACCTGACGCCGAGCTGCGCCCAACAACATTGTAACCGAGGAGCAAACCGAGTAGAATAAACCACTAGAAAATGTCTAATGTACTCAAAGATCAACACCAAATCATGCCTCATGCAAAACACCAGTGCTTTCCATTTTTTGTTTTTTTTTCCTTTTGTTTTTTTTTTGTTACTTCACATCAGTGATTTCAACCAGATGCTGCAACGATGTAAAGGACACGTACACACACGCATACACAACTCACCCTTCCCCAACTGCCCTGTAACATCCAGTCACTGGGACACATTCTTGCGGCCCCTGCCAGGAGCTTTGTTGCAATTAATGGTGACACCTGTGGCATTTACTGAAGCACAGCTGGTTATGAAGCAGGAAAGAAGAAAAAAACTAAGTACATGTTTCCACATTTAACGTATGAACTATTTACCAAGTCCCACTGACATTATGCAATAAGAAGACACGCTGAGACGGAGCCACAAGGCTTTTCACTGCCTTAAAAAATGTTTTTAAAAATGGTGGCATAGACCGATTGTTATTAGTATTTGAAGGTAGGGGGGGCGTCACACTACCACACACACACACACAATCAATAAATCCCAGAAATGCTGAGCACCTCCTCAGTCATGCCAATTAGCATCTCCACAGCTCTGGAAGCAACAAGCCAGATATCAAACAGAAGAAGGGTTAGGCCAGACACAGAGACCAAACAACAGGCTGAAATCTGCTGCGCGCTGTGTTTAGTCCCCCCCCCCCCCCGCCTCACATCCCACAGCCTTCACATCAGAGGACACCAAACGCTGGTTGCCATGACCTCAGAACTGACATCAGCATGCAGCTGTGCCCTACATTTCACAGCACTCTGCCGGTGCTCCACGCACACATCGCTTTTCAATCCACCCGATGCAGGGAGTTTTCAGGAGGTTTGTTTTAGACTCAGTCAAGAGGGGGACGGGGGTGGGGGAGAAATGCTGTTGACCGTGTCGGCATGCTTCTGAATGACCATCCCCGCTGGAGGTAAGATTTCAGTTGCGAGGACGGCCGAAAACGTTCTGACCTATGAAAGCGGAGGACCGAAATGGAAACACGGCAGCAAAGCTGAAGATGAGGGCGAGGGGACAGTCAATCTGGACTCCGTCACAATCAACTGCTGTCTGTTCACCACTTACTGATGCTGCTGAGGAAATCATTACCAAACGTTTGCTGGTTCCCCCACCAAAGGAAAAAAAAAAAAAAAAAAAAAAAAAAATAAGTCAGAAGTTTGCCCACGCTAACAAACATTAGTAATAATTACCATTTCAATGTCTATGTGTTAGTTTAGAGGATTAAAGCGCAGTCAGTCCCTGGTGACGGTGACATGCATCACCCTGTGTGAAGCAGGAAGCTGCTCCGTTTGGCTGGTGGCTAATGCTTTGCTTCACACCATGTGGTCTCCGGTGCTGGTGTTGGCCGTCTGGCTTGGCAGCTCGGAGGTGCAGTCCTTCTGTCTGAAGGTCTCCTGCTGGTGGCCGGAGCAGCAGTCCCTGTCCCCGCCGCTGCACATCCGGCGCTCCTCGTCGCTCTCCTCCTCCAGACCTGAGCCCTCATCCACGTCCAGCTGGCAAACGCACACCTCGATCCCTGAGTCGCCGGTCACATGCCGGCGTCGAGTGATAAGCTCCTCGTCCTCGTCCGCGGCTTCTACATTCTCCTGGGCCTGACACTGCGCTTGGATGGCAACAGACACCGCCTGCTGGTGTGGTGAGGAGCCTGAGGCCTGGGCGCCCCCCCCCAGCTCTGCCTCAGGCAGGGGCTGTGGCACAGAGGCACTGACGGGCTGGCTCAATTGTGGAGGGAGTGCTGGCGTGGCCTCAAGAGGGTTTTCAGAATAAGGTGGAGGTGGGGTCGGAGGGTGACCTACAACCTCTTCATAGTCTGGAAGCTTGCAGTCATTCCAGAACCCTGAAGAGCAAATCAAAGACTTTACCTATGTCCACAGTCAATCTATGAACTGATTAAAAAGTATTCTTTGTAAAACACTGATCCACTACTATTTTTTTTATTTCAAAGTCTAATAATAAAAGTCCTTTTTAAATTCTTGACATATTAAAATATACAAATATATTACATCTAAAAATAAGTTGGCCAGCATTAGCATTTCTTAGATATCAAAGTTTTAAAGTAACGTTCCACATAACATGAGGCTGGAAGATTCTATCAGTGAGTCACAGTCTAACTATGCTTGCAGATAGAGTTGTTTTCTCATTCTTGACTTGAAGTCAAGCATGTTCACTTTGAGCTTCAGGCTCAGGACAAATGTGCACCTTGTCCAACTCCCACTTGTGACATGAGTAAACATGATATCCTGTTCCAGCTGAGATCCAGAGTAACGACTAACATTAGGGTGGCATCTCTGCCGTCTGTGGTCACTCCTCCAACTGCAGCTCAGAATGCAATCTTCAATATGCACTGGGGCCATGTGCAGCCAGGTATATACAATTAAAAAGGTAAAGACTGCTATCAGTGTTTGAGATTATGAGGTTAGGATTCTCATAAAAGGGCTGTAAAACAAATGGAACCTTATGGGTGTTGCAAATGTAAACAGAAAAAATGTGATGTAACACGCAGACATTGTAACACGAACATCCCAATGCTGTTCATGACCATCAAGCATCCTGGAAAAGGTTTCTGATTAGGAGATTTTCTGAGATTTTCTGTTAACATCCTGACAACAATGCTCGTGGCTCCAAATCTGAATACACTAAACAGACATTGGACTGAGAATGCCTTCTCCATCCGATACAGGGAGGCAAAGGGTCTGAATATTACACATTAGACATAATAATTAGGGACATGTAAGGAAGAAGAAAGTTGTCATAACAGACTATTCGGGAACTACTCACTTAAATTGAGAGGTGGGGGTGAAATGAAGGAACTGGATGCTCCTTGGTAGGCCATGAGGCTGATCTCTCTTTGACGCTGCTCCTGCTGCAGGCGCATTTTAACTCTCCGGTGTCGGTAGGCACAGCAGCAGCTAAGCATTATGATAAGAGTCCATACCAACCAGAACCCTGTGGAAGGGGGACAGTCCCAATGTCAACATATCAGCAATTAAAGACGGCCATCTAAATTCCAAGACATTTAGTCTAAGACAAAAAAGTACATCTGGGGTGAAGAGTCAGCACATTATAACACAACATGCTGCCAATCGACTTAAAAAAAAAAAAAAAATCTTGGACTTTAACTTACGTCATTTTACCTGTCTGTAAAGCAGTTCACTGATTTTATATAACAGAGAAAGACATTTATAACTATACATTAAGAATAAAGTTTTAAAAAAATTATCTAATGAGCAAAGACAAGCAAAGGGTTAAAGGAAAATAAAATAAAAATACAAGTGCACTTACACCAGAGCTCATAGTAGTAAGTGCAGCATTCTGTCTCGCCACAGCAGTATCCCATCTCACAGCGGTACTGTTCATTGTTTACCCCAAAACAGAACTCCTTCCCCTTAAACACACACAAGAAGTACGGAGAGGATGTGCAAAAGTCAATATAAGTCACACAAGTAAACAAGGACATGCAGAGGAAACTCATCTTCTCATTGTCACTTCAATGTCAAAACTTGTGTTTGCACATTTCTCTTTCTAAATGTTTAGAGGTGAATTACACTGAGATTTTAAACCTGATTTTTCGTTAGACGAATGGCTAACTCCAGCTGAATGCTGCTGACTGCAAGCACATTTAAAGCACCTTTTAAGAACAATACACAGTATTATGAAGTGAAAGCACAAAAGGAGATGGTACACGACCACTTTAAACGACACAACAATGAGTTATGTCAAGTGTTCAAATAACTCATTGTAGGTGTCAAAACATCTTGAAAATAAAATTATTGTTATATTTAAATTAAAATGCTTTGCAGGGCATATAAGGTGAAATTCCCTCTAGTCTTTCATCCTGTCGAACAACATCCGTATATTCTTACACATTACCAAAAAATTGGCACCGAAATTCTGTTTATCCTTATGTAAAACATTGAGACGAAATGTTAAAGAACTATTTAACCAGGGAAGCCAAGCGAGCTATCTGAGGCTAGTTGTTCAGTCGGTCAGATAAACATGAGCAACTAGCGATGGATAAATATGTCGTTATGCCGGCTGCCAGTTAGCAGCGGCTAACGTTAATCTTGTCACTTTCGATATAAACTGTAAAACGCATACGCATAAGTTGTCCACAGTTGTCACTTGCAACTGTAACCAAATTAATTCACGAGATATAAAAGAAAACTTTTGTTAACTGACGTCATCCACGGTACACCTTAGCGAACCGTGCCCAGTTTCCTTTGTCGGGAGACAAAAAAGATTGGTAAGAAGGCCTTCACCAAGCCCAGAAGCCGCGACCTCGGCTAGAGGCTGGAGCCGAACTATTGCGCTCCAGCGCGGGCTTACCTGCACCAAACAGGTCCCGGTACAAAGAAGACCTACAATGGACCCCAGTGCTTTCTGCGGCATCGTTCTGGGTTGTCGGCGGCTAGTACGACGGGAACCATACAGCAATGGGTCGAATCGACGGCTTGCTGCGGTGACAGCAGACAGCTGAAGCTAGAGACGGTTGAATTTGTCGAACTCAGACATGTTTTTGTTTGACCGATATACACTACAAGTAGGCTACTAATGTGAATCCCAGATGATTATCTCTCTATAGAGGGCGCTGTTTGAGCGTGTGTAGGGAAGAAAAAACCCAAAGCATCATGGACGTGACTGGGCCATGTCTACGCGGAAGAGTACAATGTGTAGGACAAATATTTAACATTAATTGAAATAAAAGATAAATAGAGGAAATTTGGAGAAACGTTGTTTAATTTCTTTAAATGTTTACACCGTATAGAGTTGTTCATAACATACTTCAGGAATGCACGTCCAAGGGTAAAGAAATCGTACAACGTAGCAAACAGTGACATTGATAAAATACCCCGAAACGTGATACAAATTCGTAAACAAGTACTAAATAAAGGTACAATATCTAAATATTGCAGACACCTTTTTTTAAGAAAAATTACTGCCAAAGGTTTCTCTAAACTAGCTTAACTACGTTCTCCAAGACACTTTAGGATGCATGCAACAACCAATCTCATACCACACGATAAAACATGAAAAAGAGGAGTCTAAATCGTGCGTTTTTAAAATACCCCCCCCCCCCTCCCGTTGTTTACGCCGACGTCATGGTTTCCCAGGCAACGACAACTTGCTTGAGTGCTGTTTACCCAAGACGCATGGTGAGAAAGATGCTAATCTCCTCAGTCTGCCACAACAGCCACAAAGAGCCAGGGGAAAAAACATGGTAAGTTATTACAATGCACAGCAGCGCCACACGACAGAAAAACCAGTTGTTGTTTTTTGCTATAAAAAAACGATGCGATTGCTTATGGCTGAATGACATGGAGCACTGTTTTAGGTTTAGGCAATTTATTACCACCAGTCACATCCTACTTAGTCTGTGATGGCATTAGTTTTTACAGTTGCGTGCCTTGTTCAATTTTCATGTCTATCTATTCAAGTGTATCGTTAACGTCTTTTTCAGGATACCTCTGAGTAAGGTTTGCACAAAAAATATTTATTTAACTTTAACATTTCCTTACTAAAGGTAATGGCAAGAAAAGTCCATGAAAGGGATATAGAGAGGTGAATTTGAGGAAACGCGTGTTCGAAATGTATGTACCAAGGCATTTTACATTAGATATAAAAATGAATAATGTTTTTTTTCAAATGGAAATAAAACCAATATATCCTGAGATTACTGCAAAATGTTTGTTTCTGTTGTCTGATATTTTAATGTGGATTAAGATCACAAACTTTAGTTGAACAGCTTTAGCTAAAGCCTTCCCACTGCCATTAGGGCACAAGCCTCTCACTGGGTAGATGCCTAATCTAAGCTGACTGCAGGGCGCTTTTGACCTGTTACATGTATAATTGACCTGAGAAGTCAGGAGTTACATCCTAGAACTCTAGATGTTTCTAGCTCTAGATTTTTCTAGCTGTGGACAGCTCCAGTCCAGTTGGCATCTGAGATTATTCACTGTTCATCACTGTGTCATCTGGAAAACACAAATTGGCCAGTGTCATGCAGTCTCATTAACTGCTGACCTGTTGAGTTTTAATCGGCTCTAAGGTGGACTGTGATCCTTTTTTCAGGGCCTGTTGTCCATTCTTCGGAGACTGAAGCAATCTCCGGAGCGGGAGGTGCGCTTACTGCTGTTAGGGTTAGACAACGCTGGCAAAACCACTCTGCTAAAACAGCTGGCAGCTGAAGACATCAGCCACATCACCCCGACACAAGTACAGTCACGCACCCACTGACACAGACACGCTAGTTTGGTCACACAATGAAAATCCCGTTTGTACACCTCAGTTCCTCATTTTCTAGTCAAACCGGCATTCGGGTTTTGCTTAAGGCATCAGGCGTTGAGAAAATGTCATCTTTTAACAGGGCTTTAATATAAAGAGCGTGCAGTCTTCTGGATTCAAACTGAATGTTTGGGACATTGGAGGACAGCGCAAAATCCGCCCTTATTGGAGGAATTATTTTGAGAACATTGATGTGCTAGTAGGTGTGACTTAATCCTCTCAGAAGTAGCAGATGTAAAAAAAATCTATATATATATTTGAGTCATCAGTGTAGAATTTCATCCACTGTTTCTTATGCTCAGATTATTAATCTCTATGTTCACAGATCTATGTGATTGACAGCTCAGACAGGAAAAGGTTTGAGGAGACAAGCTTGGTGAGATGCAATTCACCTAGTTTGTGTGTAGTTTGTGTTTACAGTTTATGACTGATCAGCCAAAAACATTATTTAAAACAATTACGTAGGCTACAGTTGAGCACAGCAAGCCAATATTTATAAAAGGTAACCAGTGGTTAGCACTACACACATCTGTCCCTCCAGGAGCTCGCAGAGTTACTGGAGGAGGAAAAGCTTGCTGCCGTACCGCTGCTAATCTTCGCCAACAAGCAAGACCTGATGACGGCCAGTCCTGCGTCAGACCTTGCCGAGAGTCTTAACCTCCACACCATTCGGGACCGTATGTGGCAGGTGCAGGCCTGCTCCGCACTAACTGCTGAGGGAGTGCAGGTAAGCGTCTCCAAACAGAGCATTACGGAGGAATCAAAGGCTGAGACTCAGCCGGCTGCAGAGTGGCTACTACTCCCTATGCCGTCAGATTCTAAACGTCACAGTATTAATCATATACTTCTCGTCTCAGTGAGGTAGACTGATAGACTACCTTTTGGCAAACGTTTGCTGGTTTGCAGCAACTGGTATTACAAGATTTACAAGCAGAGAGCAATGCTGAAGAGTGTTCCCGAATATATCAATGTTTCTGATACTGATTGACAAAGCTATTGATGCTCAACTGATCAAAATGTTTAGAAGATTCAGTTTCTCTTATGTAAGACATAATCTTCACTTAATACTTTTTAAAAAAGTTTAAATGTTTTCAATCTGGATTGTAGAATGCTAAAGGTGTATAATAATTTTGATTTTATAAGTACTATGTTTATAGTCACTTTGACTATTACTATTACCACATCTTTTAATTTTTTATTTCTGTTTCATTTGTGTAGGATGGCATGACCTGGGTTTGCAGAAATATAAAATTCCGGAAGAAATAACTCAGGAGCTGGAGAAACCTTGAAGCTGCACTTTCAAACTGAGCATTTCAACCGTTTTATGTTCTGAACGAGAAGACAAAGGATTATCCATTTACACTTTTTTCATGGCAGTATCACTTTCTTTCATTTAGTCTGGATTTAGCATTTAAAAACAACTGTCAATGCCCTAGTCCTGCATGGGCAAACTTCTTTCAATAACATCCCACATTGACAAGTGTGTAGCTTATATGTGCCGTCCTGATCCAGGTGCTATTTTTGCGCACATTTTTTTGTTACATTGATTTTATCCCAACTGACCAAATATAGCAACGTTTTGAATAAACTTGTGTTTCGAGTGTTTGAGTCATGAGCGGTAGCTGTTGTGGGCCTGTGAGTCTATCTGGTGTAAGCTAGAGGGCGACCTTGCAGTAGCTTTGTGCATCAGCCTGCCGCTCAACAACCCCCCCCCCCCCCCCCCCCCCCCC